TTGACCTTCTATTTGGACTAAACCCTTTTCAGGGCATGACATTTCCTTAGCAAGCTTTGTTAGAGCGTCCGCCATAGCGTTTTGATCACGCTGTATTCTAACCAATGTTCCATTAGGAATTCGCTTGAACAGTTTTATGGCATACGAGTGGTATTTAAGCAAGTTGGGTTTTAAGATTTTATAGGTTACTGCAACTTGATTAACTACCAACTGCGAATCACCATAAATTTTGATATTTTTAATTTCCATTGATATTGCTAATTCTAAACCAGTTATCAGAGCTTCATATTCTGCCTCGTTATTCGTACAAGGGTCTGATAAACTGTAAGAATATCGCAATATAGCTTTTTTAGGCGTTATGAATATCAAACTGATGTAGAACGAAAGCGGCTTTGCTATGGTAGATGGACAAACTCCAAATGTCTCACAAAAACTGAAAATTTTCTTCAGGTTTTTATTCAAAATCTGAGAGAAAATTTAGGTTTTAGGGATGAGGAGAAAGGGTGTTCAGGAGGAAAACTCCAATTATCTTCTCATAAAATCTGAAAGAAATTTCCTTCGGGAAATCTGAAATTTTCAGATTTTGTTCTCTGAATTCAGAATTTGGGTGGTTGTTTCCCACTTGAAGGGGCTGAATTTTGGGCCCAGAAATTTGAGATGGGCCTTGAACAGAACCTCTTTGGAAAGAGGTTGCACCATCAAAATATAACTCCCAAGTGGGGCTTTCATGGTCATCCAAATTCATTATTTGCTCATCAGGAATATCATCATTCAAGGGAGATTCTGTCGGTATTGGGTGTGCTGCTAGGATGTCAGCAAGAGCTTGCCTTTTCACAGCACGTTGAGGAATGAAAGTGATATCGAATTGAAGTAGTATTATGGCCCATCTGGCTAAACGTACTGAGAGTGTCGGACGGGTCATGAGGTACTGAAGGGGATTGACCTTAGAGATCAGATTGACTTTATGAGAGAGCATGTAATGCCTAAGTTTTTGAACAACAAAGATAAGGCATAAGTAATGCTTCTCAATGGAAGGATAGTTCATTTTTGTAGGAATCAGACGCCTTCTCAAGTAGTATAAGGCATTCTTTTTTCCTTCATTGTTGGTTTGGGCCAACAAAGCTCCAAGAGACTCATCTGAGGCTGTAGTGTAAAGAATCAATGGCCTCCCCGGAATAAGCGGCCAAGACTGGCATGGACACGAGATAGTGTTTTATACTATTGAAGGCTTTTTGGCAGCCATCATTCCAGTAGAATTCTGAATCTTTCTTTGAAAGGGCTGCAAAGGGTTGGCATCTACCAGACAAATTGGATATGAAGCATCTTAGATATGTCAACCTACCTTGGAAATATCTTAGTTTAGTAAGACTTCTAGGATGTTTCATTTCTAATATCGCCTTAATTTTAGTATGGTCAATTTCAATGTCACGGTGTCGAAAAACAAACCCAAGAAACTTCCCTGAAGTCATCCCCAAAAGCACACTTTAAGGGATTCATTTTGAGGTCGTACAGACGAAGCTGTTCAAATACAACCCTTAAATCAAACAGGTGATCCTCTCTTTCTTTGCTTTTGACCACGAGATCATCGATGTAACATTCAACTTTGTCATGAATGAGTTCATCAAAAATTCTGGTCATTGCACGCTGGTAGGTTGCACCAGCATTTTTAAGGCCAAAAGGCATGACCTTATAACAGTATATTCCATTGGGTGTTCTAAAAGCAGTGTACTGCTCGTCTTCCAAGGCCATTTTGATTTGGTTGTACCCCGAGGACCCATCCATAAAGGAAAAGAGACCATGAGAAGAAGCAATGTCAATCATGAGTTCTGGGATAGTTAATGGGAACTCATCTTTGGGACATGCTTTATTCAAGTCTCTAAAGTCAACACATATGCGAATATGTCCATTCTTTTTCTTAACAGGGACAACACTGGCTAACCAAGAGGGGTATTTTTCCTCTCGAATAAAATCAGTCTCAATTAATTTTTTCACTTCTTTGATCACTTGTTGTTCAATCTCTAAACGCATCCTTCTAAGAGCTTGTTTGACTGGAACAACATTTGGTTGAATGACAAATTTATGAACTGCTATATCTGGATTTAATCCTGGCATTTCATCATAACTCCAAGCAAAACAGTCCTTAAACTCTATCAAGAGTTGTATCATACAATTGGCAACATTTTCTCTTAACAAATCACCTATAAAAGTAGGGCGTGGATTTTCTTCAGTACCCAAATTGATTTCTTTAAGTTCATCAATTGTTGATTTGATTTCTTCCTCAAATTCAGGGGGTGCATCCCTAATTTGAAGGTAATCTGGATCGTCGCTAGCCTCCAAACATGACCTCCCAACAGCGTTGTAGGTCTTTGTAAATATCATATCAACATCCAGATTATTAGTAACAACCAAACAGTAATCATCATCATCTATTGGTCCGATAGTACCAAAGCCAACGCCATATCTATTCTTCTTCAATTTGTATTTAGAATTCCATAGATTTTCATGTTGTTGAGCTTCGCCCTTGGGCCACATAGAAGGAGCAAAACCTCTTTTAATTAAACTTTTGACACCAACAGGATACTAATCAAAAGGTAGTTATACCATTTCATTCAAAGAAAGATCCTCAAGTTCTACACCCACTTCTGAACTTGAGGGTTGATGTTCCTTATAAAAGACACACTCCTTCCCACCTCTTCTTCTAACTTAGGCTCATTATGTTGACCGATGCACCAGGATAAACAAGTATTCTATTCAACTTGAAGTTATCAACATCAATAGTTATATAAAGTGGGTGATTCTGATCTGAAGTACCTAGAAGTAAATCCTCATCAGAAAATGTCACTCAAGGTACTTCTTTAAAGTGTAAAGCTTCCTCGAAGGAACACTCTGCGAGTTGAGCCAAACAAATTTCTGGATCAAGTAGAGCCTTTAAGAGAAAGTACGAGTGCATCATATATACTCAACCTCGCAGGGAGTTTCCTAAGGTGAGCTAATACATTATAATCCACTTTTGGTGGTCCACCACCCACTTGCTCTTGTGGAGCAATTGTTGGTCGAACCACACCCTCATTTTGGTTGACAGGTTCTTTACCCTTATCTTTCTTAGATGCCATTGGAGATGGTACAACACGACCACTTTTGAGATTAATTTCTGTTATTTCTTCAGGCTCAGAAGTTGAGGTCACATCAACCAAAACTACAGAATCTGATTCTTCTTTCACTTGATTTGTCTCTAAATCAGGTGACTCGGGCTCAATGACACTCACAATGCATAGTCTTTAGCCTTATTCTTCAATTTTTCTTCGTGGATGTTGTTACTTGAAAAGTTAATAGTGCACAAAATAAATATCTAGAATAATATGCAGGAATAAGTAGATAATCTTCCAATAATGTTTTTAATCATCAAAATATAAGATTGAGCTCCCGGATTGTAACTAGTTACAGTAAAGTACTTGAGGTATTAAAGGAAGTCAACCATTGCATGCAGCTACAGTCCCCAAAAAAGGGAATTACTTTTAGAAGGTAATGCAGGAAACCCAACTATAAATATAGTAGAATGTTGAGAAAGGAGGATGGCTAAATAATCAATCTCAATGACAGTTCCCAGGGAAGAAACAAAGAGCACATGAATAATGCCAAGTGAGAAAGCAGCTGCAACTCTAGTTGGCGGAACACGGATCCAACTACAATCTCTAAATTGGTATGCTTCAAAGAAGGAAATAATGAATTGAATAATTAGCTACAATGCTTGATTACGATATCAGCTTTTATTTACTTCCCAATGCCAAATGTGAAGCAACCAAATCCACAAAATAACAGCAACAACACTGATTTTCCAAATAAATGAATGGCAAAACGAGAAAATTGTTTTTTATGCTAAGCGGTGAATTGGAAACTAGTAAAATAGGTAATCAAAAGGGTTGAATCGAAGAGACTTGCAACAGTAGATCAAACTTAACGAGGTAATTAAAATACTAGAGAACAACCCCACATTAATTAGGACCATCGTTACCTAACATAATAAAGCACAAAAATTCAACATAAGCTCTTAATAACTAGATTTCAAAATGCTCATCTTAATACTCACTTTTTGTATTTTGATGAGTATATATTTTTAGGTTTTCATCTAGGTACCCATTTAAAAGAAAAATCTATCCAAGTGAACATATGGCATTCATATTTTTAAGCAATATGATTCCAAGTCTAAAGAATAGTGACATACTTAGCAGCAAGCTCCAAAACTTGGTACCCTTTGATGGTCTCTTGTAGCCTTTAGTATTGAACATGGACTAGTTAACCATTTCATTCCATTCCTCTTTCTATGTACATTCTTTTATAATTCCAATAAACCTTCCCCACCGAACTCTCACCCCTAACCCTGCCATTTGCTAATGCTTCAATGGAAAATCTCTCTCATTTTTCATTACCTCTCTCTCACATAGGAAATAATCGAAACAATATGGAAGACGAGTTTTGGAATGTTGAGTGGAAATCAGATTAGGAGGCAAAATAGCTTGAAGACCTTAACTCAATTGAATCGATTCCCCATTCTCTGCCTTATTTGATGGAGAAGTTTGTTGGAATCATTCAATGAATAATATTTGGTATTTGTTTGGATGGCTGGGATGCTTTCTTAATCAAATTTTAAGGGCCTTACTCATGAATAATCAGCATCAACAATTTGTATTGATAGCTTATATTGAAAGAAAATCTTCAATGGCTAAGCGTTTATCTGAGCAACCCAAGAAACTTTTGAATAATATGATTTTTCATTGCATGATAGAATTTCTTCTATGAAAAACCATTCCTATTATACGTATGTCACATGCCAATGGCTAAGCGTTTATCTGAGCAACCCAAGAAACTTTTGAATAATATGATTTTTCATTGCATGATAGAATTTCTTCTATGAAAAACCATTCCTATTGTACGTATGTCACATGTCAATTATTTGTCTTAGTTATTTTGAATGCTTTTCTCTGGGCCCGTCCTTGCTACAGGTTTGATCTGTTTTTCCGAAAAAGTCCTTTTGGTGGTGAATACACAGTTTTTGGTGGTTTGGAAGAATGCATCCGGTTTGTTGCCAATTTTAAATTGGAAGACGAGGAAATTTCTTTTCTGCAATCCGTCATGCCAAGATGTGAGGTATAATATGCTATAATCCGACAATTAGATCAACATTAAAAATTTTTAGACGGAACATGTGGTTGTCACCTTTGTATGATAACTTTGACATTATGAAGAACAAATTCATTTTGTTTATATACTATTTCTTAAGATGGGTCAGCACTGTAATGGATGTATTTGCTCATTAATTCACCTAGAAAAACATCAAAATGGTCCCTGGATTATTTATGGGAGTTCATTTCAGTCCTAAACTATAATACTATATATTTAATTCAATTTAGTATATTGGCTATTCAAAGTTTCAAACCAGACCTAAAATAGTCCCTTGACTCCTCATATTTTATTTAAAATAATCCAACTAATTGACTATTTTAGATCATATTGGTGGAATCAAGGGGCTAAATTAAATATATTTATAATATGGGACTAAAATTGCCCTATAAAATTAGTCCAGAAATCATTTTGACATTTTCCTTTTAATTCAGCTAATTAAATTTAAACAAACTGCAATGCAAACATGTAATGGACTGCAAGAAGGGAATTAAATTTATAATTTGAAGTGGAGAGAAAAAAGTAATTGTGGGAATGTTGACCTTCATTCAAATAAAAAAATACAACAACAACAACATCATCAAGTCTTTGTCCCACTACGTGGGGTTGGCTACATGAATTCTTTTTCGCCATTGTGTCCTGTTAAAAGTCAAATTCTCATTTAAATCTAATAAAGAAAGATCATTTCTAATATTTTCTAACTAAGTCTTTTTAGGTATACCTCTACCTTTCTTAACATAAGTCAAATCTAATACCTCAACTTTCCTAATTAGGCCATCAGAAGGCCTACATTTAATGTGACCAAACTATCTAAGGCGACTCTCTCTAATCTTATTTTTCACTGGAGCTACTCCAACCTTTTCATGTATATGCTCATTTCGTATCCTATCTCTAAGGGTAAAACCACTCATCCATCTAAGCATCCTCATCTCTGCAAAACTTAGTGTTATGCTTCTCTTTTAAATGCCAACATTCGGCACCATAAAGCATTGCAGGTCTCACCACCATCTTATAGAATTTTCCCTTAAGTTTGAGGGGGACTTTTCTATCGCACAACAAGTCCGATACATTCCTCCACTTCAACCATTCAACTTGAATTCTACTGATAATATTCCCATCTATTTCAACATTACTCTGAACAATAGATCCAATCTATCTAAAATGTGTATTCTTATTAATAACTTGATCGCCCAAAGTCATAATCCCCTCACTAAGTCTATTTCTACTAAAATTACACTCCATATATTCGGTTTTAGATCTACTCAAGCGCAAAACTTTAGACTCTAAAGTTGACCTCCATAATTCAAGTTTACCTTCAACTGCCTTTCTAGTCAATAAAAATAATAAAATAATACAATAATTAAAAAAATATGTAGAAATCCCTACCTTGTTAGAAATCTTGCTCATGTCTCGCTCAAATCCCACTTAAGTATTATGTCCGATTCAGCTGCCCATTCCTTGTAGATTAGATTAGCGCCGAACTGTCGCTTCTTCCCCCCGTTCCATGCGCAAATTCTACGCTCGCTTCGCTCTCGCTCTCGTTGATAAAAAGAGAAATGAAAGAAACTCTTCGTTTATTTTCCTTCCCTCACAAAATTGAGCCCACTGCTCCTCTCTGCCTCTGCCTATCTAATCGACTTTACAAGTCCAACCACAAGCATCCGTTCTCCTGCAACCTCACATCGATTTCCACCCAACTGTAGAAAACGACCAAGCATACAGCAACCGAACACCTTCACTTTTCCGATACCTTCTTCCTCATGCATCTCACACTTACGCCTCTTATGATCTCCCTGTTTGAATCCAGCAACTCAGTTGAGCTACCTGATCCCGTCAATATGCCTCAACCCGCCAGATCAATAGAGCCCCACGCCTTACCTCCCGATCTGAGATCTTCCGATCTCTTGTACACAGATAGCTCACGACCCATCTTCCTTCGATTCCCACTCCCTGCTTCGATCCTCCAAGCTAGTCAGAAGCCGCACCTCATGCAAGACCCACAACAAGCTGTAGATTTCGGATCCTGCCTCTAACATTCGAATCCTCAGCTCGACTCGACGCCAAACTAGCCCCTACCATTGACCTTGCTCCGACCTCCACTTTCACCTTCCGATTCCCTCTACTCCATCCGATAGAGTTGCAGCTCTTCGCTGTACTGAACCTGACCCAACCACAAGGTTCGATTGATACGCACACCTCCTCCTAAGTCTTTTACCAAGCCACACTGTGGGCTCCGAAAATTCGTCCCCGGCCTCCGCTCGCTTTTCTTATTCGGCGAGGGAGTTTTAACGAACTAAGTTCCGAGGTAAATTTTGGAAGGCAGATGGGTTTGTAGATAAGACACTACCCAGAGATTTCGCCCTCATTTTGTGAGGACTTTATGATCTAAGATATGGTTTCCTATAGGCACAGTATGATGGGGTAAAATTTAAGTATACGTATACGTGCCTCAATGCCTGTGAGGAAAAACTGTATTTTTAAACAGGTACCCCTAAAAACCCATGCATACCTTTCTCTAGCATGGTGGGATTGAAGGTCACGGCCGCAGTGTTACCCAACACCAACTATGCACATCTTTTTCTGACATGGTGGGGAGGTTAAGACTCCCGAAATTTCTCCTAAACTGGGGAGATGCCAAGAGGCTGCTCATTTTTTCACTGAATAGGAGCATGGTTTAAAATTGCGCAATAAGAGGCGTGCCTCAGCGCAATTTCGTCCATTTAAGCCTCAAAGCCTACACAATGAGTTCAAGATTTGAGGAGTACGCCTCAAGTTTACTGAGGTGCGCCTCGCCTCACGGTTGAGAGGTGTCCGCTTCTAAAAATTATGCTCGGTACTGAGAAGTACATGCTCGGTACTGAGCAGTACATGCTCGGTACCACTAGATAAATGCTCGGTACCGAGCCAGTACCGCTTGGTACCGAGCAGGTATATGCTCGGTACTGAGCAGTATATGCTCGGTACTGAGCAATATATGATCGGTACCACTAGGTACATGCTCGGTACCGAGCCAGTACCGCTCAAAATAACTCTTACAATAAAATTTTGTTCCGGTACTGCTCAAAATAACTCTTATATGTTAATGAAAAGAATACTGTGATTTGGGAAAGATGGAGTTTGAGTTGAACTATATTTCATGTTGTTTTATTATTGGAATATTTTGATTTCACTTCATATCTTGTTCATTTTTATGTTTTATATATTATTTACTCATTACTATATACAAAATTTATCATTTTCTGTTTACGCAATTTTTTGATTTTGAGGCTTACGCCTCAAAACGCCTTGAGGCTTACGCCTTGCCTCACGAACGAAAAACGCCTTAATACCCAAATACGCAATTTTAAACATTGAACAGGAGAGTAAAATTTGATCAAGACTAGAGGGGACTTGACGAGAATACTCACAGGAAATCAAACTTACAATTACAAGGAACAAAACCTAATATCTAAACTAAGACCTGCAATTTACAAAATAAAATTAAACTTGCAAGCAGAGAATTTGCAGTGGACATACTTCCAAGTAAATGTACAAAACTCTTAATGAGCATCATGAGTCACTTACGAATGATATTTATTAATGTACAATGCTCATACTTTTGGAAGGGAGTGTGATAGTTGTAATGAACATGGTGATGTATTCATGAAAGATGTATAAAAATTGTGTAATGAATGTAGTGGTATTCATACAGTCGACACTAATTAACTTGCAAGCGAATACATTAACCTCCTATAGCCGATGCTAATTAACAACAAGCAAACACATCAAGCCTCTGTAAGCCATGGTGATCAACATATAATGAATATGGTGAATCACCTGCAAATATTGGTGAGGGGTTGCAACGAATAAGATAGCCTGCTCTCAATCAATATTCAATGAATGCGATGAATTCCCTATAGACACCGATAGATGAATTGTGAACATGCAACATATCGCCTACAAACAATAAAACTCCTTACAAGAAGATTCATCATCGCAACATACAATGAATATAAATGTTCACTGACGGTTCACCTATGGGAGAGATTTAAGAACTTGTCATGCAAACAACAGATCACACAAAGGCGTTAATAGGCAACAGGCAATGAATACAATAATGCCTTGCAATCACCATCAATATATAATTAAACATATTAAATCACACAAGCAAGGAAAGTTGACATGAAATTAGCTCGATAACAAAACATGTCTGGGGGGATTATAGCAAATACAGATTTTTCATAGCTCATGTCAATCAACATGCAAACAAATATGCCAGTCTCCATACGATCGATGTCAGCTAGCCTGCAAATACATGCAATAGCCCCACGCATGCTCATTTGCTTGCAAACAAGAACATTGCCTACAAACATATACAAGCATCATACAATGAATACTACGACATCCCTTCAATCAATAACAACCAATTTGCAAGGAAAACCAGCAATCCCTAATAAACACTGAAAGTCAATGTGCAAGTGAATGCAATAGCTTGCCAGTCAATGTGTATAGGGAAATCAATGACATGACGAGCAATATGAGATGAACGCTATGATTTACCTGTAAGCAAAAATAGAGAATCAATAGTAAAAACTACGGGTCATCGATAAATTGAGGCAATAAACTTGTGGAGCCAAACTGTCACACTATATATCAGCCTACTTGCAGGTGACAGGTAGGAGGCCCCTGATACACAATAGAGCTTGTTTGTAAGCTGAAGGAAACTCCCATAAGCTAAGTATTGAAGAAAAAAGGCAACATGCAAAAGTTGAAGTGAGCTAAACTGCACTGACGATGCGCAATAAATGAAATGCAACACGCTGCTAAACACAACCGGATCTGCACCACTCATACAAGCGGACAAAAGTCATTTATAGGCCCTTAAATACAAAACTTGCGTATTTTCCAAATGATAACCACTTGCAAAACTAGTTATAATTGAATATTGTAGAAAGCCCTCACACATTAAAATACGCATTGATATGTATATCATAATATATATACATTTGTAGGATGCATAGGGTTTCATTCAAGCATGCATTTTAAAATGGCCTCCTACATGCATTTATAGGATGTAGAGAGTTTTATTCAAGCATGTCATTTGACATTGCAATTGCATTTTAAAATGACCTTCTGCATGCATTTGTAGGACGCAGAGGGTTTCATCAAGATGTCATTCAATTTTGCATTTATATGTCGTACATGTGCAGCTGAGTGTCCTGCATGTATTTGAAAGATGTAGAGACTTTCATTCAAGTGATATCATGCATTATTCCATATAAATGTAAAAAAATACCGCACACTATGCAAAATGCAAAATACTTAAGCCAATATATATGATACATGCATATGCATCAAATACATCAATTGCATACATATAACAATCATATAAATGCATCGTGCAAAATACATGTAATATTATATATCACATGGGCCTCAATGAGAGCGTAGTATGCACACACGTGATGTCTAAGGAAGCTGCGCGGGTTAAACAATAAGCCTAAGTTCAAGCCCGATCCTCCTATGCGAGCATATAGGAGTTGACACGACTCAAGCTATTGAACAAATATACGGCTGCAGTATCGACCGAGATATTTATTTTATACATTCATATTAGACCTTCAAGTTCTATAACAAGGAAAATCCACTAATAAAGGCATAAAGCCATCAATGAACCCAACCTCTGTCGACAAGTTGACAGAGTCAGCAAGGTTCAACTTATAAGATAAGATTGCCCATAAATGCCTCGATGATGGTCGTGTTAACATAAAATATCAATCGGAGGGGATCACAAACATTTAAAATACCTCCCAAATTCCCATGACAACCCAAAACACTAAAAAATCACCAAAACTTGAAATATTTAAAATTAAAATAAAACATCTAAACACAGAAAGCAAAAATACCCATATATTATCTGCAACAGTTTGTCGAGATGGATAAATTTGAAAATCTCTTCAGCTCACAAAGAGCGAATGTCTAGTCGAGAACATACCTGTTAATGGCGAATGGCACACCATGGCGCATAGCGCACGGCGCGACGCGCGCTATTTTGAACATGGCGCAAGCTATATAAAAATTATAAAATAATAAACATGAATATGAAATATTATTAAAAATGAAAGACAAGCTATCATAATAATAAAAGACAACTATAACATATATAAGTTCGACTAAGTAACATCCAAATATCTCATAATTCAAATATTACATTTATGATCACCTAAAAGCAAACAAATTTAGATAAAAGAAACATAATATTATCCAAGAAACATAATATAGGGACTGCCGGGGGTCTAAGGGGGCACTGCCCCCTCGCGGGGTCAAGGGGCAGCGCCCTTGCGGGGGTTTCCGGGGGCAGCACCCTCGGAACAAAATTTAATTGTAAGAGGAATTTTGAAGTTTGTTTGAATAGAAATTACGGAGCGGTACCGAGCTGTACCGAGGGGTACAGAGCATGTAACTAGCAGTACCGAGCATGTACCGAGCATTTACATAGCGGTACCGAGTGATATCATGTATGTACTTAGCGATACCGAGTGTGTACCTAGTTGTACCGAGCTGTACCGAGCGGTACAGAGCATGTAACTAGCGGTATCGAGCATATATCGAGCATTTACATAGTGGTACCGAGCGGTATCCTACTTGTACCGAGCTGTACCGAGCGGTACAGAGCATGTAACTAGCGGTACCGAGCATTTACATAGCGGTACCGAGCATTTATTTAGCGGTACCGAGAATGTACCTAGCGGTACCGAGCATACCTATTAAGTTGCAAATTCTTGTAAGAAATAGTCGTACAAAATAACAGAGCTGTGCGGAACAGACGGAGGTTGCAAATCGGAGTTAGCTTGTAAGATTTTTTATTGGAACAGACGAAGGAGGGGGCGGATTTGGCAGAAGCACTACTCTGCGGGACGATTCGGCGAAAACAACGACTTCAACTTCGGGACAGATTCGGCTGGATTCGGCGGAAGCAGCGAATGCAGCAAACAAAAAACATAAAACTTTCGACTTCAGGATAGATTCAGCGACCTCGACTTAGGGACTGCGGTATGTGTTCGGCGGATGCAGCAAACAAAAAATCTTTCGTGAAATTAGGGCAATGAATAGTCGTTTATATTAAAATATAGATATACTTTTAAATATAAAAAATATTCATAAGTATACCGAAATTTAAAAACAATTTGGCGCGCTATTTTGCGCCGTGCGCAATGCGCCATGGCTCACATGTG